TAAATCGCAGAAAAGTGAAAAATTTTTTGTCCGCGTTTTAGCCCGCAACTCCGAATCGATCTTGAAAATTCAAAAATTGTTCGAAAGATATTGGTTGGAAACCGTGCTGATTAGTTTTTGGTAAAGATTGGCCGAGACGTTTTCTTGTAATAAAGTGTTAGAACAAATTTTTTCGACGATTTTTACGATTTTTTTTGACAGTAGATACCATAGTCTTATAGATCATACTAAAATATTACGGCCCTACGACAAGACGTTTAATTTTAAAAATTCTTCAAAGTTCGCAAAAAGTATAATCGTTTTTTTTGCATTTGTCAAAATTAGACCTTTCATCGACCGTCAAAAATTTAAAAGCCAGTTGATTTATCTCAATGAGAGGACTATTGTTTGTCAGTTTTGAGCGACCATCTGCCGAGCCGTTTCTTTGTAATTTGAGAAAAAGCGTTAAACTTTTCGTCCACATTCAAACTCATACCACCGAATCGATTTTAAAAAATCAAAAACTGTTCGAAAGATATTAGTTGGGAATGATACTGATTAGTTTTAGGTGAAAATCTACCGAGCCGTTTTCTTGCAATTAACTGTTGAAAAAAAAATTAAGCCGTTTTTTATGGAACTTTTTTTGGCGATATATATCATGGTCTTATAGAATTTACTGAAGTGTGATACCGAAGAGTGTTCGTTCGTTTTTAATGATGTGTGATAAATCTCCTCGAAATACTTTTAATCACTCATAAATTAATTTATATTTTATTGATTAAGTCGATTTACACATATTGGGAAGTTTATGTAACTTGCCTCAAGGCAAAATACCAATACTTGGTGCTAATTTTTTTTAGAATAGCAACTTAAAGCATATATCTGCGATGATGAATAAGCTGGGAATTTTACTATGCATAGTTGTATAGTTTCTTGTTTGATATGTGCTATTGTTATTATTTTTAAATCTATTGCAATGTGGTTGGTCTGGTTTTCATAGTATAATTGCTAAAATTCAAACTAAAACTTTATGCTTCTCTCCACCCCAAAACTGAATCGATGGTTACTGGTTACAAAGTGGAGTTACTTCAGTATCTATAGAGGCATAAATAATATTGCAATAGTTTCGTTCAATTAATGAATTCGTTCGTACTTTGACTTCTGGAAGCAATGAACTTTATTGATTGATACATATCCATAACGAGTCCTTGGTGTTTGGCGTTTGGCGTTTTATGAGAAATTTCGAATGTAACGATTTCTTGGCACGTTATCAACATTACATGCGAGCGTGACTAGAAGCATTAACTGCATTATGGCGACGCAATCGCGACCTACGAAATTTAATTCGGCTCGAATTTTAAAGTGGCCACGTGCGAAATCGTAAATTATAATGTTCAATGTACATTATTGCATTTGTTGTATATAACTCAAGTCATGGTAAAAGGTCACATTTATTCTCAAAAATTTATATATTGCACGTAGGGGAGACTGGGTACGATTGTGCCAGGTTACGGTAGTGATAGTCGTGATAACAGCTAAACTACACGATTTTGAGATAGAGTTCAAAGCGAGAAAGATTAAGTATGTTTGTTGGAACAAGTTTACAATATTGTATTGAGTCGGCTCCCAACATTAACATGATCTGTAGATCAAATTAAGGTAAGTTTTTTGTTCGATTTCTATAATAATACAGGTAACCCCCGCATAACACGGTAGATACTTTCCAAAAAACTAGCGTGTTATGCGAATCCATGTTATTCGGGACCTGCGAACTAGTATAAAAAAGGGGGTTACATTACAAGAATTCAAAAAAGTATGCTATATATCACGATTTTAAAATAAATATTGTTACATTTATTCGATCTTTTAAGAAGTAATATAAATTACCTGAATTGTGTTATTTTTTCGTCATAATCAACCTGTAAGTGCTATCCAACATGATCCTTTTTTTGCAAGATATCCTCATACCCTAACCAGCGGTTTCCAACCTTTTCTTCCTTGCGCCCCCCTTTCGAATGAAAAAAATATTGCGCCCCCCCCCTTCTTATTTTTCTAACAATTTAATTTAAATATACATAATATAACTGAAATTATGCCAAATAATACACAGTATTATAAAAAATATACATACAAACATAACTATTTATTATAAGAATTTTCTGTTTCACATAAGTAAGATCTCACAAATGGTAATAAAATTTCTAAAGCATTATTTGTCAAAGTAGGAAAATCGTCTTTTACTGGTAACCAAAACTCAATAATATATTTTCGTCCTGAAACATCTGCTTCAATGTGCTATCACTAGATAAATCAATTATCATTTTCTGCTCTGCTGTTGAATGACCAAAATCATCATGTTTCTCAATGACAAATGGATTTTTAATCCATTCGTATTTGGACGTAATTAGATAAGGTAATGCGAAAATTGGTTTCGTAGACTAGTCATATGACTGATATAATAATAAGATCTTTACTTACTTCTATTTCATCAGTAACACAAGTAATTTTAAAAGTGGGAAACATGTCAAAGTTATAAAGTTATTTGATCCTAGCTATACACAGTTCTAATTTTTTCATAAAAGCCGTAATCTTGCCTTTCTGAATAAAAGCACAAATTTGAGATCCTTGCATTGATTTATTTAATTCCGCTAAGTCTTTGAAAGATATCAACTAAATACGCAAATTTTGCGAGGAACTTTGTGTCCTAAAACAAGATTGCTCCGCTCTTTTGTTATCAGCAAGAAATATAGCAATTTCTTTTTTGAGCTCAAACACTCTTAGAAGTACTTTAAGTATTTTGCTGATTTGTTTTTGACACTTACTCAGCATTTAAAAATAATATTTTTGAAATAGCTTCTCGCCCCCATCGGAACGGTATGGCGCCCCCCCCAGGGGGGCGCGCCCCACAGGTTGGAAATCACTGCCCTAAGCAGTTTTCTTCAAAAAAATAAAAAATCATTCTTCAAAAAAATATTTGCGATTGCTTGCTTTTAGCGAAAAGCTATTTATATATTTACCACATAACAAGTTATATTAATTAAAATTTTATGGTCATTTTATTTAAAGGATCTTTGTTTAAGACTAATTGGCTAATTGTTCGGATGAGCATAGATTTTTTTCGATAGAAGTATGCGTTCGAATAATAAATATCAAATAATTTGCATTAGCTTTTGCATTAGTTCAATCACATTTATTAATGTTTTGAACTAGTAAAATTAACAAAATTATTGCTGATCGAAAAAAGTATCACAACCGTACCCAGACTTCACTATTATTATTACCTTATATGCTCTTAAAATATAATAGTATTTGTGAAAGTTTTTGAAAATCGATTTTAATAAACTTGGAAAATGTTACTAAAGGTTAAAAGATCACAAAAATTCTCAAAAAACTGCACATATACTATTTTTATCTTCTATATTCGTGTATATAGTACATATATGTGAATGTTTATGAGTATCGATTGTAATAAAACTAGAGAAAAGTGTGGAGTTGAGCAGGGCTTAAAGGTTCGCAGGTAAGAAAGTCCACCACTATCATCTCAAGAACAAATATATTTTTATTTGTACGTTATTTTATTGTTTACGTTATGTTATTGTTTTATAAGGATGTATTGTTGTTTTTAAAAAAGATTCAACCTTTTTTATGACCTTTTTTTGTAACAAATCTCACATGAGGGTGTGGTAAAAAAACGAGTAAAACATTACACGGGCAAAATTATAAACAATAAGAAAATAGTAAACATAAAAGTGAATTAAGAGGATAAAAAGAAATTGCACAACAGTTAGTTAATATACATACATACATTGATTAAATTAATAGTTATTCCTACTTTGATAATAAATATTTCTGACGAAATACCATATTAGGGTTTTATACTTATAACATGTGATTTTTGTATAAAAAAATATTCCTGTGAAATTTGTATTTTGCATTGGTTGAAGAATGTACCAATTATTTTGTATAATTATAAAGTAAAGTAATAATAAAGTACCAAAAATTATTTTTTTAAAAAGATTAACATTTTTGAAAAAAAAATATTCTGAAAAAAATAGATTTATGAGAAACTATGAATTTTTGACAAAAATTTACTTATTTTTGAAAAAAAAAGACTTTGAAGAAAAATTTATTTTGAAATATTTTGGAAATTCTGAACATTTTTTCAAAGCAATCGTACTGCTTTAACGGCATAGAGACAAAATATCGAAGCACGTAAGCGCCGCGCCGCCGTCTAACAGATAAACATTGGTACGGAACCCATAGGAATGTAAACAAAATTTATACTTATTGTTATAATCTCTATAAAATATCTGATAATTTGATGTGCATATGTCTATTGATCATTTTTGACCGCCAAATGGCATTTTTTTACTTTTTTTACTAGATCTCCGAAACCGCTATACCTGCCTTCATGAAAATTTGATCAGTTTTTCATCTTGTTGATACAAGTAAAATGTTTTTTGAATTATTCAAATCGGACACTCCGTCTTAAAAACTGAATTACCGTTTTTGGCACTTTTTGCCCCATATCTTCGGAACGGCTAGACCTGCCTTTGCTAAAAACTAATCAGAATGCCTCTTTATCAATATAAATCGAATGTTTTTTGGATTATTCAAATCGCTTCATCCGTGTTCCCGAAATCGTCGACGACTTACTTTTCTAAAGTCATTTTACTCTAAGAGACACTTTATTATATATTGAATATTTATAATTTATGTATACATTTTAAGAGAACGTCGAAATTTTGAATATTATTATTGAAATATTGTGTAGTTTATATATTACTTTACTATTACATACATAGTGTAGTTTATATATTACTTTACTATCACATAAACATTTTTCACAATATAATTATGTATAGATTCAATATTTCAGTAAGTAATTGAAATTATTAAATATGTTTCTTGTACTGTTTTTATAATAAGTTTCTACTCACTAAAATAATATTAAAATCTATTACAAATTCAAATAACTATAACGTATTTGATTTTTTGGATTCGAACTAACAAAGTAATTATAATATAAAGTATTAATGAGCCTTATTTAATACTTTCTCGTCGTGCAACAGTATTTTGTGATTCTATGAATCTGGAGTAGGTGTTTGTCGAGGTCTTGAAGGGCGCTGTTTTGGACCAGTGCATGGGTCCTTGACTTGTAAATCCCAATTTGTCGAATAATGCTGTAGATCTATAATTACCATTCACAATACATCCCACAGAATCGCTTCCCTGCTCGGCTATTGCCTTTGCTATTGCCTTTAAGGCAAGGGCACCGAACCCTGAAGGTAATAATTAGAAAACAAATTTGAAAGGGGTTATAAGATATACATATGTTTATTCAATATTCATTTTTATTACAAAATAGAACAAATAATATCAAAGATCCAATTTTGTAATTTTTCTCTATCAGTTAGTGCAAGGGTAACACGTAAGTACGAAGAGTAGAAATTTAAAATTAATTGATCATAAACATTATAGTATCACTTTTCAGCATCCTAAGATTTAATTATGTTTAATTTTGTATATACGTATATTTTGAATTAAACTTTCAATACGATTTGAAACAATATTCTTCATCAAGAACAAAATTTCATTTTACGGTCCCTATTATTCATATTTAACTAATTTATTTCAATGTCTTCTTCATAGAAAAGATTGAAATCGCACTGTTTAACGACTTTACTAATAATAAAGCTAGTGTGCAGTTTATTCTATTTTAAGAGTTATTTCTTATCTTTTCAAATTGAGATAAATATTATGGACCGATGCTGCCGCATAACAGACCAGTGTGGAGGCGATGTTATGAAGAATTTTCCATTAAAAATATTGACAAAAGCCATGTGGTTGCTATGCAGTTCTCAAGTTGTCAGATAGTAACCTAACCTAGAAACCGCACAGATGTCAAAACAGTTAGATAACAGGGTTTTTCTGACACAGCTTAATAACATACGAGTGACGTTGCAGTTTGAGTGTATAACGCCTGTATGCACAGCAAATACATGACATTTTGGCAGTGTTCAGTATGATTTAGTAGCATAGTTTATGGAAGTTGGAGCGTAACATGGCCTTGTCATAACATTGTTCTGTTATCCGGCAGAATCGGCCTCTTAGTTGAAGTAAAGATAAATCTATTATTTTTGCAATAGTTGGCTTCAACTATCTACATCTCAGGTTGTATAAGTCCGATCAGGTTCTACTAGGCGGAGTTAGAAAGATAACATTTTGTACTAAAAATGAATATTAGACAGGTTTGTTATTGATTGGCTCAGGTTTGTTTGAGCCCGCGTCAAAAATGGACACCAGCAAAGATAAAATGCACTACATTTGACACTCTTTGTTCGATAAAGGCAAAAACGCAAGCCAGGCGGTTAAAACTCTGAATAGTTTTTATGTTCCAGAAACTGAAACAGTTAATTATAGCCAACAGCTCACTGGATTGCCAATTGTCGAAAATGTCGACAAATTGAGGAGTCGCACCGTCATGTAAGGATGTAAGTCTATTTCGATTGCCCAAGAGCTAAAGATTGTATAAAATACGTTAGGCACTATTTGAATGAGGCTAGATACAAAAAGCTCAATTTATGATGGATGCCACACGAAAACCTACTGGACCGAATTTTCATATGCAAATTGGTGCTAAATCGAATAAGAAGAAAATCGCCTAATTTTTTAAGCTATTTGTGACTGGTGATGAAAAGTGACAACTTGAAACGAAAACTGTCGTGATCGATTTGTGATGAGTAACCAGAAATGGTAGCCAAACCAAGATTGGGATTTGGTGATTTGGTGGGTTTAGCAGGAAATTATACACTGTAAGCTGATTTCCAATGGCAAAACTCTTAACTCGGACTTGTATGGGCAACAATTGAACTGTCTAGTGGAAGCAATCGCACAGAAACGGCGAGCTTTAGCCAATAGGAGAGGAATCGTGTCTCATCAGGACAACGCCTGGCAACACACTATAGTGTCTCGCCAAAAGCTCCAAAAGCTTAATTGGACGGTTTTTATGTATCTATCTCATATTACCAGCTGTTCCTGTCCATGGCGAACAGTTTGGCTAAAGAAAAAATTACTTCAAATGAGACTTATAAAAATCGATTTTCTCAATATCTTGCCAGTAGGAACGAGGGTTTCTATGAGAGGGGCAGAATGATATTACCTTCTAAATGGCAACAAAAGTTATCGAACAAAACGGCCCATTATTGATCTCAATCGGATCATCCTAACTAGCAATTAATTCCATATAAAAATAATGGATTTCTTTTTACATTGAATGAACTTCATTTTTTAAGTTCAAGAAGAATTTCTGTAAATTTTTGTCTTGTTTTCTACTTATTAAATTATTGTTGGTAATGCAGAGAGTTGTTAATATTAGACTCGGGGCTATCAATTTTGAGCATTTTTATTATTTTAACTATCTCAACAGTTTTTGTATTCGTATTAATTAATAAAAAAATTGATGTGATGAATATTAAAATATTTTAAATGAAAAAATAAATATGGAAATATAATAGCATACATTGTATTTTTTTATATAAAATAATTTCAATTTCTTATTTACTTTACTTTTATATTTGGTTAAAGTTATGTTTTAATAATTATAATACTCGGAAATTACAATAGAATGAGTAGTTTTATTAAGTAGAATTCCACCTCGCATGCATTTGAAATGATTTTTCAAACCGCAAAAATTCCTTTCTTTCGTTGAATTCTTCTATTTTCGAAAAATCCTATGATTTTTGACAAAATTTAATTACCTAATATTTTTCAATTTTGTAGAAAGAGAGCTGACTCTATTCTACATATGCAAGTTTCAATATATATTTTTTCTATTAATTTGGAAGAGATAGCATTGAGAATCTGGATTTTACTTAAACCTTTCAAAAAACAATCTTATTGTTAATAGAAACGGATGCTCTTCATTTTATGAAATTTTATTAATTGTTACCCGATTAAAATTGAAATCTACGGATGAAACATTAATAGGCTTTTTGCTATTAATATTTATATTAGTGATAGGCAAATAAAGTAAGTTTTTTATTAAGCATTCAAGAATTATGAATATTATTTATTTTTCATGAAATAGTCAAAAGAATTGCTAATTAACGTCTTACCTTTACGAACATAATCAGGGTGTGTGTGCAACGAAGTTATTATACCACTGTCCATTCTAAAAAATATAGAAAAAAAAATTATTTAAATGGCTAAATAAGGATTTAAAATTTTTGCATTTGCAATCTGTTTGTTATTCAAATTAGAAGATACGGAAATTCAAACTTATCGTAAGTCTGCTATTAGATATTTAATTATTTTATTGATGTTTTGATCGCAAGAAATGCATATAGGCTCAGTAAATGAACCAATAAAATTTAAATATAATATTATTCAATTTGCATTGATAATTATAATATATGACGTTATTGCTAACATTTTAATCCTCCATTATACTTTATAATAGGTTATTTTTAATCGTAAATAATTTTTGTGAATACTTATATCATGATAATTTTTACATTTTGAAGAATAACATATTTAAGTATAAAAATACTTCTCTTCCACTAATAAATTATATTTTGTTTCGAATTATTTACTAAATTCTCAATTCTAAATCTATAAACATTAAATATATTTCTAAATTATCTATTATCTATATTTTAGTGCATAAAAATTAATTAAAAACAGACATTAATTAATGAAAATGTTACACTTACCTTAGTACCCAAGCAACTAATTTATTGTTACTTTTTAAATAGACTCCTTTTGAAATATTTTTCCTGATGAGACTTCTTAACCAATTTTCAGATCCTTCATATTTGTGGGGCCAAAACTGATTAATGTAATCGGCCTCAAATTCTTTAAGCTGGTCAACATATGCTTCTGGATGCCTAGGATAATAGTATTGTTAGTTTGTATTTTATTAACTTATTCGCAACCAAGTTACATGTCTTTTAATTTTTATAATATCTTATTATGATAGATTTGTTCTAAAAAACTACTTAGTTATACGTAAAAATCAGATATCAACGGCTGACTCTCTCTCTCTTTTTAACCGCGAATTTTTTGATGCAATATGTCATTAGAAAAAATATTTTGGTTTACTTCAATATCGATTTTATATAAGAGAAAACTACACATATGCACTGATTTTATTGAAATTTTGAATAATCAATATATTTTAGCTGAAGCTACTTCTGATTGGTGTCACTAAAATATTTAACACGTTTGCGCACGTGAATTAATTTAAATTTTTAAAGTCAATTATTCTGAATTTAGTTTTTTATAACTTTATGCTTTTGTAATTGTTATACCAGTGAAGGAAATGACTGGTATACATATGTACAGTGGCGTACCTAGGGGGGGGGCGGTGGGGGCGGTCCGCCCCGGGCGGCACTTATTTTGGGGCGGCATTTTTTAGTTTATTTATACATAGTTGTAAAAAGCAACTTATTCATTTTATATTTATTAACTTCCGTAGGGTAAGTTATAGTAATGGACCGACAATCAAAAATGAAATTTTTTATATTGTTCACGTTTTGAAGGTTTCTGAACATTTTTTCATACCTCAGAAAAATTAGAAGTGTGTGTGTTTTGTGTGTCCGCATTTTTTCGTTCACGTTTTCGGGCGCCCCGATCAACCGATTTGATGGTACAGAAAATAGAAATCGAGTTTTTGAGAGAATGAAACATCCGATTTGATCGATGCAAAAAACTTCAATTTGTAATGATGAGGAGAAGTGGTGATTAGTTTATCGCAAAGGCAGAGATAAGAAGCAAAATGTGCAAAAAATATCTGTTTTTGAGAGAACTAAGCATCCGATTTGAATGATTCAAAAAACTTTCTACGTGGATTTTATTTTGAATTCTACCTAAAGTTCAAATGATCATTTATATACTTGAAATAAATAATTTTAACTTTGTAATTCAGTTTATATATTTCTTATAAATATTAGACAATGCCCTTTATTTCAAATTTGATTGATTGAGTTTTGTTAATTTACTTTTCTGTAAACATATATAAGTTACAGTATTTATAATTATATATTTGAAAACATTTAATTTTCCTCGAATATATCATTACAGTACAGAAAGTTCCAGCAATTTGCCTTAACTTACAATGCCATACACCACTAGTTAACTTCCCCAAGGAGAAGTTTATGTTTTCATCAAAAAATTCGAATCGCTAATTTTATGTTTTTTCGACGTTTCAAGCCATTCTGAATCGAATGAGCCCAAATTTGGAAAAAGTATGAGTGTGTATGTGAACAGATTTTTTGTCGTAAATTGTCGTTTTTTTCAAAAACGGCTAGACCGATTTCAAAAATTTAAAAGCCACTCGATGTATCTCGATGAGGACTATTATTTGTCAGTTTTGTGCGACGATCGGCCAAGCCGTTTCTTTATAAATCGCAGAAAAGTGAAAAAATTTTCGTCTACGTTTTAGCCTGCAATTCTGAATTGATTTTGAAAATTCAAAAACCGTTCGAAAGATATTAGTTGGGAATATGATTAGTTTTTGGTAGAGATCGGACGGGCCGTTTTCTTAATAAAGTTTTTTAAAAAAAAAATTCGAAGATTTTTATGATTATTTTTTTGACGGTAGATATCGTAGTCTTCTAGATCATACTAAAATATTACGGTCCTGCGACAACTGGTTTAGCTTTAAAAATTCGTCAAAGTTTGCAAAAATTAGTATGGTCTTTTTGGCATTTGTCAAAATTAGCCCTTTGATCGACGTTTTCTCAAAAACGCCGGAACCGATTTCAGAAATTTAAAAACCATTTGATGTATCTCGATGAGGCATATCGTTTCTCAGTTTTGTGCGACGATCGTCCGAGCCGTTTCTTTGTAATTTGGGAAGAAGTGTTAAACCTTTCGTCCACATTTAAGCTCATACTACCGAACCGATTTAAAAAAATTAAAAACTGTTCGAAAGATATTAGTTGGGATTGATACTGATCAGTTTTAGGTGAAAATCTACCGAGACGTTTTCTTGTAATTAACTGTTGAAAAAAAAATTTAAGCCGATTTTTATGAAACTTCCTTTGGCGATGTATATCATTGCCTTATAGAACTTACTAAATTATTACGGCTTTACGACAAGTAATTTTAAAAATTTATCAAAGTTAAAGAAAATGTTTTTTTTGACGTTTGTTAAAAATAAAATTAGATGATTTAGTTGGTATAACGATAGTGTACTTGGTCTTGAACATAGTAAACCATTAAAATCCTACGGAAACTGGTTCAATTATAATTATTGAGTAATTAAAATTATTGATTTTTGAAAATTTGCTTTTAGAAAATACTTCGAGTTAACGTGTTTGTTCGTTCGTTTGCAATGATGTGTAATAAATCCACTCGGAATACTTTTAATCACTCATAAATTAATATATTTTTTTTATTGATTAAGTCGATTATTTACACATTTCGGGAAGTTCATGTAACTTGCTCCAAGGCAGAATACCAGTACCAACTAGTTTTCTTTCTTGAATTATAAATGATTATTATGATTTTTATTATTGTCAATATTTGATTTATATAAATTATGATTAACCATATGATTTAGAATTTTATTATAGAAATTTTTTATATATCTTTACGTTTCAGAGGTTACTGAATTTTGGCATATCTTAGAAAAAATGGATGTGTGTGTGTGTGTTTAGATACAAACATTTGTCGATGATTGTAGGAACACGCATCAACCTATTTGAACAAAACATTCGATTCGTACTGATAAAACGTGCTAATTAGTTTTTGGCAAAACGGGTCCAGCCGTTCCAAAGATACGGGGCAAAAAAGCCAAATATTGTAATTTAGTTCTTGAGAGAACGAAGCGTCCGTTTTAAGTAATTCAAAAAACATTTTATTTGTATTGACTAAACAAAGAACTGTTTTTGGGATGACAGGTCTAGAGGTCTAGCGATTACGGAGAATCAATAAGAAAAAGTAAAAAAAGGACATATTTGGCGGTCCAAAATGATCATTAGATATATCCACGTCAAATTATCTGATATTTTCTAGAGATTTTAATAATAAGAACAAATTTAATTTACATTTCTATGGGTTCCGTATCAATGTCTAGCCGTTTCGCTTCGATATTTCGTCTCCAAAACAGCTGCGCAGCGCGATTGATTTGAGAATTACAAATTTTCAAAAAATTTCAAAATATAAAAAAAATCAAAAAAAGCCATTTTTTTCGAAATTCTCAAAAATATATTTTTTTCAGATTTCAAAAAATTTTTAATCTTTTTTAAAAAATTTATGTTTCGGTACGAGAAGTGCCAGCAATTTGCCTTAAGGCACGATGCCATGCATCACTAGTTTATTTGTATTAATTTATGAAAACTACTATTTGACTGACTTATAATTGAAAGGGCGGCAATCTGGAGACCGCCCCGGGCGGCAAAAGTTCTAGGTACGCCACTGCATATGTATTTATATCGTAATTTATAATATAAATAATGCTTCTTAAATAAGCTTAAAATGCCACCAAGTATCTACTTTTCTATCTAGTGCACTCATGTATTTATATCGTAATTCATAATATTAAAAATATTTCTTAAATAAGCTTAAAAATGTCACCAATTATCTTCTTTTTTATCTGATGCACATATGTATTTATATCATTATTTATAATAATATCTCCAACTAACTATCTCTTTAGGTATTTTTGTATTATCTTTTCCTGTACTCACTAATGCTATAGCATCTATGGTATATAATGATTAAAAAATTATAATACGGCTACCCTTTATTTAATCAAATTTTGAATACCACTTTTTTGTTCTTTTTGAAACTTTTACTGTCCTTGATACTTGTTTCATAATTATATAATAACTAAAAATATTTTAAAATTTGAGACCAGGTACTCCTGTCTGTCTGAGATATGAAATAATGTATATATAAATAAATAAATACAATTATTTATCACAAAAAAAATCAACGCAAAGGTCGAACAAGACAATAATTAGACCACTTATCAGCTAAACTTAATATAGCGGTAAAGTCCTTATGATCTCATATAAATGATTTAAAATATTTCAATATTTTTAAAAGTATGATAAATACAATATCTGGTGCCAGTACTTAGTAGTATTTTTTGACTTCTCGAAGGAGAAATTTGTTTTCTAGGGATTGTAACTAGTGCTGTATGGCATCGTGCTTTAAGGCAAATTGCTGGAACTTTCCGTACCGTAATAAAAGATTTGAGGAATATTAAAAGTTTTCCAATAGATTGTTATAAATACTGTAACATTGTAAATACTCTAATATTCATAAAAATTATATAAACTGAATTGCAAAGTTCAATTTAGCCCGATTTAAAATTAAAAACTGAATTATTTTCGATATTAAAAAAAATTATTGGAAAAAAAATTAAGTTTTGGAATAAAAAATAATCTAAAATCAATTGTTTCATCAACACTAACATAAAGTTTTTTGAATCCTTCAAATCAGATGCTTAGTTCTCTCAAAAACTGTCATGTTTTGCACATTTAGCTCCGTATTTTTGAAATAGCTGGTCTTGCCTTTCCCAAAAACTTATTACCACTTCCCCAATCATTACAAATTGAATATTTTTTGGATAATTCAAATCGGATACTAAGTTTTCTCAAAAAACCACGGCTGGACTTGCCTTTGCCAAAAACTAATCAGCACATGTCCCTATCAATATAGGGATCGAATGTTTTCTGAACCATTCGTATCGGTAGATCGTGCACCCGAAAACGTGGACGAAAAATTGCACACACACACATCGATTTTTTCTGAGGTATGCCAAAATGTTCAGAAACCTCTAAAAAGTGAAGATATGCAAATATTTTCGTTTTCGATTTTTGGCACATTACTATAACGATTTGTGTGCGTGTTATGAGCCGATTTTTGACATGCGTTGTCAGAGTTTTCTTACACCTCGCTGCACCCATTGTAGAAATTTATTAGCTGTTTAATGCACGACTATTTTTTCCACGACTATCGATCGAACCTTTTTTTTATAATTAACATAAACAAAGTGCAAAATACTTCCACACTTTACCCAAAAATGTTGAATCGATTTTAAAGTTATAAAAACCATTTTTCTCTCTTTAATTAATTGCAAAAATAATTTAATTATAAAAACTTCAATTTTTATCGTCACAATTTTAAAATTCTTATATATGAATTCTTATCAATTTGCCCCTTTGTCCCATAAACATGATCATGCCTATTGTTTTTCATGGTTTGTTTCGATTTGCAAATAAAGCACATATAACAAAAAAAAACGATTCATATGCTACATTTATATTCTGTTTTTTTTTTAAATTATTCTTTTCAAGTGTATATGTTATGTAATTCGAGTATTATCATAAGAGATAACGAAAAAATGTGAACTTACTCAACATTAAAATTGATAGCCGTGTCCCTGTGAATCCAATGCCATAACATATCTCCGTCGTATAAAACGGGTAATTTAAGTTCTTCGTAAACTGAATTTAAGGCGACTTTGAATCTTCCAAGGTAAGGATGAATCCTAGGTCCCTTTGACCAGTCCAGGAGTAACAAAGCTTCACGTAGACGTTTGCATTTTTCGTCCAATGTATAAATAACGGTATAAAGTTCGGCATCCTAAATTTGGAACAATGGATAGAAATATTTTAATCTACAATATTTCATTTAAAAAATATATTTATTTGTATATTTAGGCAATGATTATTCAAAAGAATTTTCTTAATTTCATTATTTTTATAATTCATAAAACAAGAAACAATATCATATATTTAATCAGCATTACTAATAATTGTTTGCCTGCGTTGCAATTTATCGTTGCAATTGAAACTATCCACTTCCGGTAACTATTCTTAACTAATACAGTTTATAATATTAATTATATGATTAATAAGGCAACTTAAAAAATAATAAGGCAACTTGAAGAATACCTATATTAAGATCAGGCCGGTCCTACATTGAATGCGATGCATGCAAAAATGCTGGTGCTCGCCTTAGGGGGCGCCAATACGAGATTCGGATATGAAATTTATAATATAGTTTAACCAATATAATTCAAGGAATATATAATTTCTTTGCATCTTCTACTAACGTTTGGACAATATTTTAGAATACATTAAAAATTTAACTTTAAAACTACAATGTGATGCACGATGTGAAAGTAAAGATGAATCATAGATGAATACATACAATGAAGCTCTTACGATATCAATTAGGAAAAGTTTACGGTGCAATTTTGATATTTTAAATGTTGCAAAATTAAATTTAAAAAATTCAACATTACGTACAAGTGTTATGTTTAATAATGAAAAGATTGAATATTTTTTTGCTCTCTTGGCATAATTTTCTCAATAGAATAAATCGCATAAAATTCCTAAAATAAATTAGTAAAATGTTTCAAATCCCAAATATTAATATTACACATGCATTAGAAATTCTTTCAAACAGAATACTGAACTTACTAAAATTATTGGATGTACTAAAAAGTTTGGATTGAAAATAAGAATTTAAAATTTATTTGTTAATAAATAAAAAAATCATCATTAAAACAATTAAAATAATTAAGCGCTACAAAAAATGGCATGCGGGCGCTGAGGACGCTTGTAGAACTTTTCAAACCAAAGTCCACAAAGAGCGTACTGAATCCCTAAAGAAGCTCATATTTTCCCTTAAAATTTTGAAAGGTAAAAGTTCAAGTTAATTAAAATTATTTGATCAAAATTCGAATTTCATTAAAATACAAATTGATTAAAATATCAATTTTCAAAAATATTATTAAAATTGGAAAACCGAACACCAATGTATTCGAATTCTCAACGTCATCATTTTTTATGCTGTAATAAACTTGAATTGCAATATCGAATTGCATTCTAAACCATCGATTTGAATTTTTCAAGTGATGATTTGGCAGATTTTCACCATCAATTTAAAATAAAAAAGTCAATGACTCAGACACGAATAAACTCCCAACAAAACGAAACAATTGTGTATAGAAATACAATGAAATTAATACCATATGCACGAAATGATTTTATAGTACTCATCAGCTTTAATGTTATTTTGAACATACTTGTAATATGAAGGTACCATCTGACCAGTCGTCATCTAATATGTAAACTTTAGTCCCGGAAATTTTTCCTTCCTTTTCCAATCTATACTGATTTTTTAACACCTCATATGCTTGAAAATGTTTTGGCCAGTCTTGAGGGAAGAGTTCCTGAAGTTTCGGCCAAAACTCCATTGGAAGTTCAGTCAAAGATTTGTTTCGTGAAGGCATTTCAGTAATTTAAATGAATAATGATAATAAATAATTTAAATAAATTTTGTTGATCTTGTATCACTAATTTTATATTTGAAATATTATATTATTGTTGGTGTCAGCTAACCATCATAACTTTTTATATTTTTTGTGATACCGTCTTCTGATCTTCAGCACATTTATTAACAATTTTAATGTTATGACTAAGTATTAATCGATTTACGATTTGATATTTGATATTTCCAACTCGAACTGCTACTAATTTCAATCTGCTTATGTTAATATTTATACTACTCTTATCGCAAAGAAATGTTTTTGATTTCTTAATCAAAGCACAATTTGCAAATTTAATAACAAATCGTTATCATTATTTAAATTTTAATTAATCATGAATCAAAAGTCGAAGTGCGCAGTTAATATTAACATGAAGAGTATTAGACATATTCAAATGTATGACATACCGGAAGATGTAAAAAGATTTGAACCATAAAAAATATAGTAATTAGGTTTAGTTGGTATTTAGCCGTAATTACTTGCCAAGTTGCGCGAAGTTTCTGAATCGTGTAAATAATCGACTTAATCAATAATTTAGCTAATTAGATAAAATATTCAGCTATTAATTTCGAAATAAAAGGTTTCGCTTTCAATAGAGTTTTATCATTGCGATTTCGAATTGATATCTTTCAAACAAACTTATATTATCTATTATAATTATAATAATAATTGTACTTATACTTCAGTCAATGGAGCGTTTTGGGTCTGATTTTTTTTACTGTGCTCCGATTTGCATGAAATTTTGAAATTAGGTTTATCTTACCCTAAAGTTTAAAAGTGAAAACAGTATGGTTCCGCCCCACCCGCCGGTTGAATGACACCCCTTCTCAGTATGGTAATTTTATTTTTTCAAAAAACGTCGGTTGTTTAAGTTAGTTAGTTGTTAACAGAAGAACTAATTATACGAAAAAAATGTTTCAAAAAGTTGTTTAAAAAAACAAATACTTTTCATGTTACTGGCTACTAAAAATCCGTTTCGTTTCGGCGTTTTTTATCGTTTTTTTGCAAATATCGTCAATCAAAATATTAATAAACCGGTGTTTTACTAAGGAATAATATTAAGCTAGATTTGAAAGAGCAAATTCGTTTTTCATTTTGTTCAAGATTTAATTGTTGTATTTCAAGCCATCGAGCGGCGAAGTGTTACATTTTATACATTTCAGGTAAATAGTGCTCAGCATAAGCTTTGAAATGAGTACAGTTAAGAGTCTCTTGCGTGTAAAATGATTGAGCTATCATACAAATAAAAGGCGCATACAATATTTTTTCATTCAAATCAAATTGTTTCATTAGTGCCATTTCCACCAAGATTCAAATTAATTTTATTCCATCCAGAATTAACTTGGCTAAATAGATTTTAGTGGATTCTAGCACATACCACACATTAGTGCAAACGATTTTCAAAAAAGAAATTTATCAATTTAAAAAAAAACTTATTTTCATTATATCTCAGAAAGAATAAAACATGCTTATAAAAGTATCTAAAAAAAAATTTCAAATCTTTTTCTTAGCGATAAATGTCTCAAAGTCAATATATACATAAAAAAGACGTTGGCGGGTATCGGCGGCATTAACCCTCCCCCCTGCGGGTGGTGGCATAGTGTAAATTATTTTCACTTTTGATATTAAGGGTAAGATTAGCTTATTTCCAAAATTTCATGGAAATCGAAGCACAGTAAAAAAGTTCAGAGGTTACACCCCTTTTTCTCTCTATTTTCTGCACTATAAACTAATTGTTCTATTTTGTAATGAACCGAAAAAAATTTTAGTTTTTCATCAACTTTCATAGCCGAAATATAAAATTCTTCGAGACCTTGCTGATTTGTCAATAATAAAAAATCATTTTGCCACTACGCTTTCCTGAAATATACACTGCTTTAATGTTAATTTTCAAAACTAAGATTAATCAAAACCAATTTAAGGAATATGAGATAAAAACAAGTTATGTGATTGATTTTGACAATTAATAATTTTGATCTTTCAATTTCAATAATGTTTCACTTTCGCGCAACAATAAGCACGAAGAAAAAAAATTACTTACTATAGCTTACTGAAAATAACGTGTTATTAACCCGAATGAGATTTCTCGCCAAAAAATCCGATTAGCAAAATTTTTGTTTTCTCGATTTTAGAAAATGTTTGATTTAGAAAATGTATGTGTGTGTCCCACAGTGTGTGTGCTGATTTTCAACATTTCTCGTAACCGGCTGGATCGATTTAAAAACTGATAAAACCATTCGATTTATTTCAATAAGGACTTACATTGAATAGTTTTGCGGAGTATACGATTTGAACAGTGGCGTCGGAACCGTGTGGGTTGTGTGGGCTTGAGCCCACCCATGAATTTTGATGGGGGGGGGGGTCTCAGCCCACCAATCAATCTCAAAAAATTGTATGGGCTAATATGTCTAAAAAAACGAACCTACTGCCTGTCTATCAAAAAATAACGAGCCCACCCATCAAAAATTTGCTTCCGACACCACTGGATTTGAATGATTCAATGATTCAAACAATATCTACTTATACTGACGTAATGAAGAATTGATTACTGCAAAGGCAGGTCTCCGGTTTTGGAGATCCAGATTTTTATTTTAATGCTATTTGGCGGTCGAAAATCAGATATTTTTGACAGTCTGGATCAACCGACAAGAATGGGTATCCAAAACGTTCAAAAAATATCAAAATTATAAAAATTTTCTAAAAAAAATTTAGTTTTCAGAAAATATCAATATTTTCAAAAAGGGCAAATTTAAAAAAAAATCAATATTCGATTTTTTTAAATGTTTTAAAGATTTTCAAAAATGCTAAAAAAAATAAATATTTTCAAAAACAGTCTAGTTTTTCATTTTAATTTTTTTAAATTTTGTCACGGAAAGTTTTATCAATTTGCTTCAAGGCATTTTATTATTATATATATTATTTGAATTGTAGGTTATACTTTTACATCTCTACATGTATAATTATTAACGTAGGGTAAGTTATAGTAATCACAAAAAATCGAAAATGAAAATTTTTATGTATGTTTACTTTTCAAAACCTTCTGAACATTATGGCATACCTTAGAAAAATGGTTGTTTGTGTGTGTGTGTATGTGCGTGTGTGCGGATATAAATTTTTGTCGACGATTTCGGGAACACGTATCAACCGATTTGAATAATTTTAAAAAACATTCGATTCGTATTGATAAGGAGACGTGCTGATTAGTTTTTGGCATAGGCAGGTCTAGCCGTTGCGAAGATACGAGGCAAAAAGTGCCAAAAACGGTACCTCAGTTTTTAATAGAACGAGAGCGTCTGATTTTAATAATTCAAAAAAGATTTTACTTGTATTTATGAAGAACTGATTAAATTTTTGGGAAGGCAGGTCTAGAGTTTTTGGAGATCTAGTAAAAAAGGTAAAAAAATAGCATTTGGCCGTCAAAAATGATCATAAGATATATGCATATCAAATTAGCAGATATTTTATAAAGATTTTAAAAATGTGTATCAATTTTGTTTACATTTGTATGTGTTCCGTAACATCGTTTGTCCGTTAGATGGCGACGCGGCGCTTACGCGCTCGAAAATAAGTCTCTATGCAGCTAAAGCAGTACGATTGCTTTGAAAAAAAGTTCAAAATTTCTAAAATATTTCAAAATAAAAAAAAAAAACATTTTTTTCCAAAAGTTTTTTTTCCAAAAAAGTATTTTTTTTCAAAAGTTTAAAATTTCTCATGTGAGAGTAGTAATGTATATTAAAGTATTAACTCCCATCGTATAAAAATATATAAATTTTATTCATTATAAAATATTACTGATATAAAAATATAAATGACAAGTCCAATTGTTTTTCTACAATCACTAGCCTGCTTGATTTCCCCACACACCCCCTGCCCAGTGTTGACCTCACAGTTTAGAAAAAAAAAAAAAAAAAACAGTGAAACACGTTATAAATAATAAATGGTGGGAAAACAAATTATAGGATTGTTGTGATACTGGTCAATTAGAAATTTCCATGTTTCGTCAGCAGATCCACCGTATGTGGTAATTCGACCTTTCATCAACTCCATATTCTGCATAAGGTTCTGACTAAAAAAACATGTGAAAAATTTTGTGAACCTCGATGTCGGTGAACTTCTAAGATTCAGCCTCGATCTAATTGGTATTAGTTATATCAGAATTACTTTATGTTTGGAATGCATAATTTATGGGTACAGTTTCCATTTCTGCAGGCGTTGCTTTCGTATCTGATGGGTTCTGATCAGAGAGAGAAGTTGGCTCTTTATCCAAATCAGGATCATTTGTTTCTTTAACATAAGAGTCCAGAGTTGTGGAATCCAATAAATAATTTATGTCAAATTTTGTTTTGACTCGTCGCTGTCACCGATAATGGGAGGTAGCATCAAAAGACGATTTGTTGAGTTAACGGACAAGGAGAGGTTGAATTGCATTCCAATGAAAAGTTTAGGCTCCAAATTATTTTTTTCTGTCTGCAATAAACACTGAGGTCTGGGTATACCAAATGGGTAACCACGAAAGTCTGGTTCATATAGTAAAGTGCGTTAACTATGATGAACCGTGGACTGGACGTACCTTATAAGTCGTCTCTGAAGACCAGTGATTATGGTGCAGCGTAAAAATATGTATTTCTTAAATCCTCGAAAAATAAAACTCCTTTGTCTTCATTTCAATCGTCGTAGGTCACCAACGTGGGTGTAGTAATGATTGACAAGTCCAATTGTTTTTCTACAATCACTAGCCTGCTTGATTTCCCCACACTCAAAAATGTTTTTTTTTTTAAATATTACAAAAAATATAATCTTTTTTTAAAAAAAACTTTTGGTACGGGAAGTTCCTGCAATTTGCCTTAAGGCACGATGCCATACACCACTAGTTATTTCTTGTAACGATTGCAATGTATAGTTGCACGTTTTCAATTTCACTTCAACGCGTTTATT